AGAGAAAGGGGCCGAAGCAAAGGAGGCCTCTGTAGCGGGTCCAGTCTGTGGTGCAAGCTGTCCTGGCACTTGGGCCACATGACCCAATGACCCAATGCTGTATGTATGTATGTATGTATGTATGACCTGTGTAGAGTCAATGCTATGAGAGGTAGATAAAGATGTCATGTGAAAGCCCTGATGGAATTGCAGTCCAGAACCTTAAGAATACTGGGATAAGGACTCGCCTTCTGCAGAGAGAACTACTCATGCTGTGTTACTAAACCCTAGTACAGATTGTACACCTAACCAAGGGATACCCAGTGACTATGAGACCAGAGCTACCCATCATGAAATGAACATTCTCAGTTCCGCCATATCACAAGGTGGATGCGGCAACAATCCGTCATAGAATGAAAATGATTTATACAGGATTGGATCTGAGTCAAGGCAGCTGATTTTTCTGACCTCTAAGAGCTCCCTTTAGATGATAGCTTCCTTTGAACCTTGCAGAAGTGATCCAAAGATGCGGGTCTGTTAGAGATTCTTTCGAGTGACTGCAAATGAGTCAAGTGTTCTTTTTTTCATGGCAGTGAATTTAACGATGGCAGGGGTGATGGCTTGGGAAACGTGATCAAAAAAGATGTGACTGCTCTTTCTCTCTCAAAAATAAATAAATGAATAAGTGAATAAATAAATACATAAATTATAAATACATAAACATTAAAAACAAAAAAAGAGATGTGACTGCCAATTGACCCAAAAGTTGAACCTGGGTATTTGGAGGCTCCTCACCCTTCCCCTTGTCCTTGGAATATGGGTTCCACTTGCTTTTCTGCTCCCAGAGGCTGCCCCAAGATATGGCCTTGAGATAGTAATGTGATGTTGAAAACAGAGTAAGACACCTGCATGGTGTATGTGACCAAGCCCGATTAGTGCCTCTTTATAAACTTCTAAGATTTAGAGTGTGGGTGTGGAGACCCATTTGTCTTACTACTGCTCAAGACAAGCCTCGTATTTAAATTCCCTTTGCCGTTATTAAAATGCCACCTACCAACATGGAGAGTGGCCTGCCTCTTTCTTTGGTTTCTCCCTCTCCTCTGCATACAGGAGCCAGTTTCCAGGAAAGCTTCTAAGAGGGTTGTGAGCCTACAATTGGTGAGCCAGGCAGGAGACTAAAGAAATGGGCCTTGGAAAAGAGGCATTCTATGGGGAGATCTCGAATTGGCCATCAACCTCTAGGTGGGGAGAGGTGGTCCATATATCAGATACATATGGACCACCTCATGAGCAAAGGGATGCCAGAAAATGCACTTGTTGGTGGAACAGTACACAGTACATTACTCACTGTGGCAAGGAAGGGAGCACTGTGGTCTGGCCAGTGGTCTGGCCTCCATGATGGGCAGTTCTAGCTGGCCACTGATGCCTGGCTGAAGGCTGAAACTCATGTCTAGAAGTTGAAAGACAAGCTAAGATAAGAAAAGGACATGAGAATGTCAACACTGTATGCAGGAAAGATGAATTACTAAATTCTACTCCTGAAAACAAAATTCCTCTGTATGCTAACTAGAATTTAAATAAACATTTGAAGAAAAATTATTGTCCTAACCTGTGTTTTCTCTCACAGCCTCCAAGGCAGCCAGAGGGCTTCCATAAGAACCATGTCCTTGCTAATATAGCCCCTTGCTGACCACTCAGGGCCCATTGCAAAAGAGGCAGATGTTGGGGCAATGGGTGTCTCAGTTGGTTGAGTGTTCGACTCTTGATTTTGGCTGAGGTCATGATCTGGGGTTGGGGGATTGAGCCCAGGGTGGGGCTCCAGGCTAAGCATGGAGCCTGCTTAAGTTTCTCTCTCCCTCTGCCTCTCTCTCCCGCCTGTCCTCTCTCTCTCTCAAATTAAAAAAGAGAAAAAAGTTGGGTGTATAAGATTGTAAGAACTGGTCAGGAGGAGTAGAGTGTTGGGGAAGGTAATGGAGAAAAGATATGACACCAATTGACCCATGAGCTGAACCCAGACACTTGGAGGCTTCCTCACTCTCTCTCCTATACTTGGAATGTGGGTTCCACTTGGCTTTTCCATTCCCAGAGGCTGCTCTGGGACATAGTCTTGAGATGGTGATGTGATGGTGAAAACAGATGCATGGAGTATGAGCCCCATTAGGGCCTCTTTATAAACTCTTCAGATTTGGAGAGTGGGTACAGGGATTCATTTGTCTTGCTGCTGCCCAACGCAAGCTTTGTAGGTAAGTTCCCTTTGCTATTATTAAAACTGCCCCTTGTCAACATGGACTGGCCTGCCTCTTTCTTGGGCCTCTCCCTGACTTCTGCATACAGGGGCCAGTTTCATATTGCACCACGAAAGCTCCCGGTGAGAAGGTGGTGAACCTACAGTCACGGCATGAGTGTCCCATGACAGTGGGGAAGGCGACGACCTACAACGACTTCTCGTGGCTGCAGGTTACCTGTATATTCCCTTTCTTGGTTATTGCCTCAGGTTGATTTTCCAGTATGTTTCTCGTTTCTGTGAGTTACGCATAAGCTTCTAAAAGATTATTTTTCCATTTAAATTAAGTTAGTTTCTGATTATGCAACCAAGAACCTTAGTAAGTACGGAAACTATTTGGTGGTGGTTGGGGGGGAAGAGGGGGTGTGAGCTTAACACTTTAATTTTTTAAAAATTTATTTAATAAAAACTATAAAAGGACTAAAAGAAAATAAAGCTGTACATTTAATCTCAAGAAGGCATTTTGAATCACAGAGAAAGAGCTTGAAATTGTAAGGGGAAAGATAGACGTACCTAACTTTAAAATATGTGCAAGGTCTGTACCTTCTAGAAAACCATAACAGTGGAGCGCCTGGTGGCTCAGTCCGTTAAGCGTCTGACTCTTGATTTCGGCTCAGGTCATGATCCCGTCGTTCGTGAGATCCAGCCCCCTGTCCACCTCTGGGCTGACAGCATGGAGCCTGCTTGGGATTTTCTTTCTCCCCTGCTGTCCTGTGTTCTCTCTCTCCCCCTCCCTAAAAATAAATAAATAAACAAACGGTTTTAACAATCCTGGCTGTTAATGTTAGTCTTTTATTTGGAGTGTTTAGCACATTTCCATGGAATAGAATTTATTTTACTGAATTTTTTTAAACATGTATTCATTTTTGAGAGAAAGAGAGAGGCAGAGAGCAAGTGGGGGGAGGGGCAGAGAGAAGAGGGAGACACAGAATCCAAAGCAGGCTCCAGGTTCTGAGCTGTCAGCACAGAGCAACTACGCAGGGCTCGAACCCACGAAACCGTGAGTTCATGACCTGAGCCTAAGTCCGACACTTAACTGACTGACCGCCCAGGTGCCCCAAATATCATTTATTTTTTATTTCTAAAAGATTTGTCCCCAAATGTTTCCCATTTCTTTCTGACAGTATCTTCTTTTTGTTCTTCTCTGAAATTGCCTTTGCACCCTTTATTTTTTTTAAACCTTTCCATACATAGCTGTTACATCTGCAGATATCTTATCTGTCAATTCCAATATGTGCAGTCCATGTAAAGCCTAAGTTTGCTGCTTGTTCGTGTTGGTTTTGCTTTCCTAACTCATGCATAGTCTGTTCCTGTGCTTGATGGTATTTTATTGTGAGCTCATTGTGAAACTTTCTGCACAGAGTTTCTGCCGAGATGACTGGGAGTTCTCATCTCTAAAGCTTCGTTTATTCATTTTTAAAATGAAGATAATAGTAGAGCCTGTTTTAAAGGCCTGTTTTAGGGGCGCCTGGGTGGCGCAGTCGGTTAAGCGTCTGACTTCAGCCAGGTCACGATCTCGCGGTCCAGGAGTTCGAGCCCCGCGTCGGGCTCTGGGCGGATGGCTTGGAGCCTGGAGCCTGTTTCCGATTCTGTGTCTCCCTCTCTCTCTGCCCCTTCCCCGTTCATGCTCTGTCTCTCTCTGTCCCAAAAATAAATAAACGTTAACGGCCTGTTTTGTGAAATTGAAACAAGAAAATGACCATAAAGTGCTTAGCACAGCATTGGGAACATATTAACGTCACAAAAAAAATGTCAAGTGTTACTTTTAAAAGTAAAAGTTTGGATCAATATATTGATTTAAGTAATTGTTTCCTGCTTCCTCCATCAGAATATAAACTCTATGAATCACACAAGCTTTGAGGTCCTGTGTACCATTTTATTTCTTCAGTGTCCAGGAGAGAGTATAATATATTTAGACACTCAGTAAAATACTCATTGACTAAATGAATGAATGGATGCCATCAAAGTGGAACAACCTCGATGAAAAGATTATTAATAAAAGCCTTTGAAATCAAAAGCAGTCAACATAATCTTCTGCATTCATAGATGGAATAACTTATGAGATGAAAAACCCAGCAACAATTTTGTAAGATAATATTTGTGAAATTTAGCATACCCAGAGTTGAGCTTAAGTTTTTAGTAGAGCAGCAAAATTATTAAATTATTATTCGTGTATTACATTAATGTTTTAATCGTTTTTAATACCTACTTTAACACAAAGTAACAAGTGTTTAGTGTTTCTATACAGTTGAGTTATAACCTATTGTCCTCTTTATATTGAAACTTGAAATATACCTTACCTAAATTATCAGGAAAATGCTGAAGATATGTTTCTGTATGCCTTTCATTATTCAGAGTAAGTGTCTATACTGGCTAAATTCATTTGTCGCCTCTATCAACTACTTTTTTCCTTTATGTACATCTAAACTGTCATAAACACAACATAAATGATGTTATAGTTGATATAGAAAAAGATGAAGTCCAAGTTTTGTTTCGGTCATGTGTTGTTTCCCGTGGATATACGTTGGGCGCTCCTACTCCACAACTCAGGCTAACAAATGCAAAATAGTCCCGGGAGGACAAGTGAAATCCCCAACACAGAAACTTTCATTTGCATCTTAACAAATTGTAGGTAAGCCTTCAGTTTGGACACACATTCTCCAGGCTGGCTAAGTTTTATAGATGTCCCTGAGGGGGTCTCCATGAAGACGTTTCAGATTCCATCACAAGGCATTATTGGGGCACTTTCAAGTCTTCGTGTAATGAAAGAGAAGAGCATGATTCTTCCATCAAGCAGCCAGCGTTTGTCTCATTCTGCAGCAGGTAATCTAAAACAGATGTAACAGAAGCTATACTGGGAATCGGCAGATATGCTAAGCATAGTGGAAGGCCTTCTCATTTTTATAGCAGTTAGTGAATCAGTACTGGGGGTTTTAGGGAATGGATTTATTGGACTTGTAAACTGTATGGACTGTGTGAAGAACAAAAAGTTTTCTATGTTTGGCTTCATCCTCACCGGCTTAGCTACTTCCAGAATTTGTCTGATATTGATAGTAATTGCAGATGGATTTATAAAGATATTCTCTCCAGATATGTACTCTTCTGGTCACCTAATTGATTATATTAGCTACTTATGGATAATTATCAATCAATCAAACATCTGGTTTGCCACCAGCCTCAGCACCTTCTATTTCCTGAAGATAGCAAATTTTTCCCACCACACGTTTCTCTGGTTGAAGGGTAGAATCAATTGGGTTCTTCCCCTTCTGATGGGATCCTTGTTTATTTCATGGCTCTTTACGTTCCCTCAAATTGTGAAGATTCTTAGTGACAGTAAAGTGGGGAATGGAAACGCAACCTGGCAGCTCAACATGCCGAAGAGTGAGTTCTTTACTAGGCAGATTTTGGTCAACGTAGGAGTCCTTCTCCTCTTCACGCTATTCCTGATTACATGTTTCCTGTTAATCATTTCCCTTTGGAGACACAGCAGGCGGATGCAATTGAATGTCACTGGATTCCAAGACCCCAGTACAGAAGCGCATATGAAAGCCATGAAAGTTTTGATATCTTTTATCATCCTCTTTATCTTGCATTTTATAGGCCTGGCCATAGAAATAGCATGCTTCACAATGCCGGAAAAAAAATTGCTGTTTATTTTTGGTATGACGACCACAGTCTTGTACCCCTGGGGTCACTCATTTATCCTCATTCTCGGAAACAGCAAGCTAAAGCAAGCCTCTCTGAGAGCATTGCAGCAGGTCAAGTGCCGTTAAGACAGGGCGACTGCTCCCAGCCACACAGACTCGCGTGGGGAGAAATGGATGTTCTAGGAGAATATTCTAGTGAAGAGGAAGCCCCTGCAGTTCTGTTCCACTTGCACGACATACTCGCATCGGTTGTACCTGTGTTATTGAGCGTCACTAAACTCTCCCATAATTATTTTGACTACGTTGTAGGAAATTTCACTCTTCACCATGAAAATTCAGTGGCTCGGTCAGTTTCCGTGCACTCACGCCTTTCCACACACCTCTCAGAGGAGAAACAGCTTGGAGACTATTCACTGTAAGGGTTTCACTGGTGAGACTAAGCACCTAAAACTAGAGTTTTCACGGTGCTTGACTTGACTTCCGTGAAGCACTAACAACCTTTCACCCAGAAGACCCGTAGTAAAAAGAAGGCGAGACGAAGGAAATTGTAATCGATCTCGCTGTTTAGAACGTGGATGTGAGAGACAGAGACCGAGATGCAGCTTTTGAGTGTGCATTTTAAAGTTTTTAAAAGATCACTTTTATTTTCACAGTTTAGATCTTAATGTTCTTTTTTTTCCTTTTTTTTTTTAATTTTTTTTTTTCAACGTTTATTTATTTTCTTTGGGACAGAGAGAGACAGAGCATGAACGGGGGAGGGGCAGAGAGAGAGGGAGACACAGAATCGGAAACAGGCTCCAGGCTCTGAGCCATCAGCCCAGAGCCCGAAGCGGGGCTCGAACTCACGGACCGCGAGATCGTGACCTGGCTGAAGTCGGACGCTTAACCGACTGCGCCACCCAGGCGCCCCCTTTTTTTTTTTTTTTTAAACTGGCATGTGTTTGATGGAGCAGCAGTGGTGACAGCAGCAGGTGTTCTGTAGGAAATAGCTCAGGAAACAGTCTACATGGGGGACAGGGGATCAGAGCACTGATCAAACGAGTCTTTATATTCTTCAAACCCACTCATTTGAGATGAAGCAAAATCATGAACCAACTGGAGTTGAGCTGAGCGAAGATTCTGCCAGAAGTGCAGATCCAAAGGACTCACCAGGGTCACTGAGTTGTGTTGAGGGACACAAGACTGAAGCCAGCATAGAATCAGTGTGAGGTGTGAGACGCTCTGCTCTAGGGTCTTACACATATTTACATTCATACACGCAAACCCGCGCTCACAGGCATTTACAATGCTGGTTTTCAATTTTTTTTTTTTTTTTTTAGCGTTTTATTTATTTTTGAGAGAAAGAGAGAGACAGGAGTGTAAGCAGGAGAGGGGAGAGAGGGAGAGGGAGACACAGAATCCAAAGCAGGCTCCAGGCTCCGAGCTGTCAGCACAGAGCCCGACGCGGGGCTCGAACTCAGGAACCACGAGATCATGACCTGAGCCGAAGTCAGACGCTCAACTGACTGAGCCACCCGGGTGTCCCTAAAATGCTGATTTTTAAAGTGAATATTTGTATCCAACCCAGAATGCGACCTGAGTAACCTATTTTGGCAACTTGTAAAAGTCCATGGACCCTATACGATGGCCTGGGGCCTAGAAGATATCTAAATATAAGGGCTTAATTCATTTAATAGTTTTTGAACACTAACTCTGCTAGGTGCCGAGGCTATAGTACTGAACAAGAGGCCAATGTAATGAGTAAGATATTCTGGTAGAAAAGCAAATAAATAGCAAATAATAAACAATTCTATTTATGGTGTTGGGAGAGAAAAAAAAACTGAAGGGTGCTAAGCAAATGACCTGATTTGGTCCTGCGTGTAGAGAAGGTGTCATTGAGCTTGAAATGTTTTTGTTTTGTTTTGTTTTGTTTTAGATCTGAATACTGCCTAAGAGTGAGGTGGGCAGAACAGGAGAGATTTGGGGTGGGTGCTTAGGTGTCAAAGCAAGAAGGAGTAGAGGGCATTGCAGGAAACGAAAGTCCAGCATGACTAGTATATAGAGAGCGCAGTATTTGAAATCATTTTTTAAAGAAAAATTCCAATATCAGGGCACCTGGGTGGCTCAGTTGGCTAAGTGTCCAACTCTCTGATTCCAGCTCAGGTCATGATCTCATGGGTCGTGCATTCGAGCCCTGTGTGGGCTCTGGGCTGATAGGCAGTAGCCTGCTTGGGATTCTCTCTCTCCCTCTCTCTCTCTCTCTGTCCCTCCCCTGCTTGCTTCTCGCTCTCTCTCAAAATCAATAAATAGAACATTTTTTAAAATTCCAATATGGAAGAACTTGATAAATTCCTTGCAGTTGCTAAGTTGCCCCGCAGAAACAGTAAGCTAATATTTTGATAGCGAGAAACATGACCCACCCTATTTTAATCTCAAAATCATTCAAGATTATTATTTTTCAAGTTATTACTTTGACCACAAAACATCTTTGTAATTTGCATATATTTGATCACTAACGAAGTTAAGCACTTGTACAGAATTATTAACCAACGGCATATAATTCGGGAGAATTGTTCATTTGCTTTCCTTCTGTTTTTTTTTTTCCACGCCTTGTAATGTTTCTTACCAAGTTGACAATTTATATATTAACATTATGCCATATATGTTATGATCTTTTTTCTTAATTTGCTGTTCAGTAAATACCTTAATTTGTGGTGTTTGTGGAAATCAGTTTGTAATGTATATGAACTCAAATCCCTTTGTTTACATTTGCGATTTCTTCCACTGCTATTTTGAAAAACATTTGATTTGTTTTTATTGGCGTATGTTCCTTTCATCCATTTTTTTTGTCTGATTATAAAATCAAACTGTTTCGCTGCACCTAAAATTCAAAAACACAGAGAACGAAGGAGAAATTAAGACTGTGCATATTTGTAACACTTACCTAACTAGTGTTAACATGTTTCTGTGTGGATTTCAAGACAAATTTCAAAATAGACAGGTATAGATACATAGGTACGTTGCTTAAAATTTTGTTTTGATTACATTTATATGTAAACTAGATGGATAAGTCTTTTATCCACAAACAGCAGGATTATAGATGATTTTTGTTTCCTTCTTTTAACATTTTGTAAATTTCGAAATTTTCTGTAATTTATGCAATAATTGATGTAATCAGGGAAATATAACGAAAGAAAAAACAGGATACATGAATATAAAATCTGTTTGGGGGGCGCCTGGGTGGCTCAGTCGGTTGAGCGTCCGACTTCGGCTCAGGTCGTGATCTCGTGGTCTTTGAGTTCGAGCCCCACATTGGGCTCTGTGTTGACAGCTCAGAGCCTGGAGTCTGCTTTGGATTCTGTCTCCTTCTCCCTCTGCTCCTCTCTGTCTCTCAAAGATAAATAAATGTAAAAACAAAAATAAAAAAAAATCTGTGTGGTTAACTTTCTTTGAGGAATGATAACAAACAGCATTCTCCAGAGTTTTCATAAACTGTAAGTACCAACTTTAAATGTTTACTGCCTTGGCAGGTCTGATAATTTAGTTAATTGTTTGTACTCTTTTTTTTTTTTTTTTTTTTTACTTTCCTTAATTAAAAAGTTTTAGGGGTTCCAGGGTGACTCAGTCAGTGAAGTGACCTACTCTTGGTTTTGGCTCGGGTCATGATGTCATGGGCTGTAGGACAGAGCCCTACATCGGGCTCGGCACTGACAGTGTAGAGCCTGCTTGGGATTCTCTCTCTGCTCTTCCTCTGCTCATGCTCTCTCTCTCAACATAAATAAGTAAATAAAAACTTTTTTTTAAAAAGTTAAACAAATTTTAACTGCAGTATGATTGACATATAGTATTAAATTAGTTTGGGGTGTGGTTCAACAATTGCATACAATATAAAATGCTGACCACCAAAAGCATAAAACCACAATACAGACTATATTCCATACGCTGTGCTTTATCTGCCAGTGACTCATTTATCTTATAACCGGGAGTTTGTACCTCCTAATCCCCTTCACCCATGTTGCCCTCTCCCTTAGCAACCATCAGCTGGTCCTCCGTATTTATGAATCTGTTTCTCTCCTTGTTGCTGTCATGTACTGGCTTGATTCTGACTCCGGGTCGTCGGATGTTTTGTGATTCTGCTTGGAACTTGGTTTCATTAGAACTGTACCTGTGGGAATTGTTTAAAGAACTCCCAGTGGTAAAGTGTCTTTACAGTGCCCTCCGCCAGAAAGGATGTGACTTTGCTTGTGAGGCTGCGGGGGGATACCACCTGTCCTGTACTTCTTTTTTTTTTTTTTTTTTAATTTTTTTTTTCAACGTTTATTTATTTTTGGGACAGAGAGAGACAGAGCATGAAGAGGCGAGGGGCAGAGAGAGAGGGAGACACAGAATTGGAAACAGGCTCCAGGCTCTGAGCCATCAGCCCAGAGCCTGACGCGGGGCTCGAACTCATGGACCGCGAGATCGTGACCTGGCTGAAGTCGGACGCTTAACCGACTGCGCCACCCAGGCGCCCCTGTCCTGTACTTCTTTAAATTGCATTTTCAGTTCATGATTTTCTAGGCTGCACTGGTGGTACAAATTCTGGTCACAAATATGCTTGTGGGCGAGTTTATTCTCGGAAATTCTCAGAATAACAGATCTATTACATTCTCCCTTCAATTCAGTGCGGTCGAGAAGTAAATACCCCTAATCTTAACCTTTTGTTAGGCATCCAGAGTTTTTTCATTTGCTTTTAAGGGATTGCCTTTCAGGAGTCTTGCTTTATTGATTGCATTCAATCTGACTTCTAACCGTGGAGAGGCCCAAGGTAGGTACCCTACCCACCATGCGCATGGTCCTTTAAAATGTATGTTCTAGGTGCGCCTGGGTGGCTCAGTCGGTTGAGCGTCCGACTTCAGCTCAGGTCACGATCTCACAGTTTGTGAGTTCGAGCCCCACGTCAGGCTCTGGGCTGATGGCTCAGAGCCTGGAGCCTGCTTCCGATTCTGTGTCTCCCTCTCTCTCTGCCCCTCCCCTGTTCATGCTCTGTCTCTCTCTGTCTCAAAAATAAATAAACATTAAAAAAAAATTTAGGGGCGCCTGGGTGGCGCAGTCGGTTAAGCGTCCGACTTCAGCCAGGTCACGATCTCGCGGTCCGTGAGTTCGAGCCCCGCGTGGGGCTCTGGGCTGATGGCTCAGAGCCTGGAGCCTGTTTCCGATTCTGTGTCTCCCTCTCTCTCTGCCCCTCCCCCGTTCATGCTCTGTCTCTCTCTGTCCCCAAAATAAATAAACGGTGAAAAAAATATTAAAAAAAAATTAAAAAAAATAAAAATAAAATAAAATGTATGTTCTGGTATAAAGGAGGTTGAAAATGCCCCTCCCCCCACTACTTTCAGCCCTTCTTTTTCCCCTCAAAATTTGCAATTTCCCACCATTTTTGGCATCTGAGA